CTGCAGTAATTGACTTTGGTAAACATGAAACGGAGTACTTCGGTCAAACTGAAGGTACGGATTATGAGGCACCACTGAAAGGCAATCGTCTAAGAAAGGTACCAAACCATGAACTTCGATCTATCGATCACAATACAGACGACGAATCGATTCCGTCAGGTATCAGAAACTGATATTGATGAGGTGATTACCCGCAATGAAAATAGAAACACAGCTAAGAAAACAGTGCCTGATTTTGTTGTTCTTTTTACGACAGAAAGATCTTATTTTAAGCATGAGTTATGTTTGCACTGTATTAGCGACTAGTCACAACCATATGCCGCCGTCATGAACGACCTTCACCTTGGTGTACCGCTGAGTTTTCCTACGCGAATGCTCGATTCTCTTCATATACATTCACACAGATTTGCTTCTATTTTTAGAGTAACTTTAAGAATGACATTATATGATAAGAGATTATTAACCTCGTGTGTTTCCGTGTCATTAATATCATATATTAGGAATAAACAGGCCAAAGGCTCGCATAATACAATTTATTTTCCTAATATATGATATTAATGATACGGAAACAAACGAGGTTAATAATCTCTATATATTACACTGGTTATGTTTCACCAGATGGGTAATAATGAAGTATACACACCTATTTGCATTATCCCGCTAGAACTCTCCCACAGCACGGGACCGATATGGCCTAGTCCCATGACTCTGTGGCGGGCAAACCAAGGGGTGGTTATCAAAATGAGGCACAACAACCTGATCAAGAATATCTGTGATGAGGCGCTGGCCATTAAGACTTTTTCCCCGTACAGACACCGATTCATCACATGGGTACAATGTGTGTGAAGCCCATTTCTAATGTTCCCCGCCGTGATATTGCTGGAATATTGCTAAAACAAAACTCACTAACTCACCCAGGAAGATTGTGGTAATCGAATCGTCAGCTGCGAGAGTATACTATCGCCACTCATATAACCACGTGTTTTTGCAACATTAAATTCAGACAATATGTACAGTTTAAGTGAGCAGTAACTACAACACTATGCCCGTCCCCGTCAAATACCACTAGTATTACAACTCGGGAATTTCAAAACGTATCTAACGAGCGAAAGTGACGTTTTGAAATACACTCACTGTAATAAAGAAAGTTTCTGAGGTTGACTCGTTCAGTAATCGACATACATTTGATGCTTTAGTACAAACACAATGAGAATTATTCCCATAAGCTTGGTCTTTATTGCTCTTGGATGGCATATCCCTGTCCATTATAGAGTTTGACATAGGATACTTTGATATTGTTCAACACTGACATTTCTCAGAGAAAATGGAATTCTTATCCACTTCACAATTTTTAAAATTTCTATGGTAATGTGTGTTACATCTAGCAAGCACTCTTTTTTATGAGAAACAGTTCTAACGACATCCTCATCCTATAGATCATCTTGATGAAGGTACGCTGCTGTACATGAAATAAATGCTTGTGTTTGTCATGAAGCAAAGCTTCCTTATTTCAAATATGTAACCATAACAGTCATTCAATACATAAATCCCTGTTCTCATCCGTGAACGACCATCAAGCTGGCACTACAGACAATCTTACCTTTTTTTAGTATATGTTCAGATACGGTAATCGAATTGGAATTGAAGATCTCAAGATTTAATTACAATACTAGATCCTTGTTTGCAGGGTTTTAGTCACCCGTGAACATCCGGGTTAGAATTGGTCTTCAGTAACCCATGCTTGTCGTAAGAGGCGACTAACGGGATCAGGTGGTCAGACTGGCTGACTTGGTTGACACATGTCATCGTATCCCAAATACGTAGCTCAATGCTCATGCTGTTGATCACTGGATTGTCTGGTCGAGACTCGAATGTTTACAGACCACCGCCATATAGCTGGAATATTGCTGAGAGTGGCGTAAAACTAAACTCACCCACGTACTCACTCACTCACTCACTCACTCACTCACTCACTCACTCAAGGGTTTTAGTTAAAATAATGTTGTCATGTTGCAAGCTAAAACTCTACTGGATGAGCACAATGTTATCTCCACAGACGGATTTGTGTGTAATGTCTTCGATACCTCAAGATTAGAGATTTAGAAAATTGTAAATGCCACTTCTGTCAGTTCTATCAAAATAAATAAGTTACATTGAATCGATTATGTTTTTGTGTGAAAACATATTGCAAGTTTCAGAATACTTTTCTGTTCGGTGAATTTGATAATAGACTAGGCAAGGAGTAATTGTGTGATGGCAGAACCTCCCGGAGGAGCCGAACAGATACCAGGGGATTATATGTCTGTGGGATTATTGCGGGATTATGTGTCTGCGGGATTATGGCTGTGAAATGAAATTACATTAATGTTTGCGTCTCTTTATATGTATATGGGTGGAGTTGGGTGTGTTGCACTGGATTAAGTCAACTAAAGTCTGTTTTAATATCTTTTCATTAGCCAGGTTAAAACCGACAGCCCCATAAAACTAATGGTGGCATGATTACGTTTCCCTGTAGTGAGCTAAGATGAGATCGTTATGTCGCAGACATGCCCTTGTGATGTAAGTTAGTAGGTGCAGCTTGAAAAGCTCTGTGAACATAGACTGGCACAAGATCTTCACAGACACAAAGGCCCGTTTGAATCATGGCGAGGAGAAGACTTTCATTGGGACTGAGATGGCAGATAATGGGTATGTAGTTGGCATGTCAATTCAAAGCCATCGGGTGTCAACTTGTTTACTGCCACTCTGTCATCAATAGACTTATCCTGACACGCCAACAATCAGGCACTGTGGAGGATCAACCAACACCAAGGCAACCCAGGAATACAACACCGAGGCAACCCAGGAGTACAACACTAAGGCAACCCAGGAATACAACACTAAGGCAACCCAGGAATACAACACCAAGGCAACCCAGGAGTACAACACCAAGGCAACCCAGAAACACTACTCCAAGGCAACCCAGGAATACAACACTAAGGCAACCCAGGAATACAACACAAGCGGCCCAGGAATACAACACCAAGGCAACCCAGGAATACAACACTAAGGCAACCCAGGAGTACAACACCAAGGCAACCCAGGAGTACAACACTAAGGCAACCCAGAAACACTACTCCAAGGCAACCCAGGAATACAACACTAAGGCAACCCAGGAGTACAACACAAGGCAACCCAGGAATACAACACTAAGGCAACCCAGAAATACTACTCCAAGTCAACCCAGGAATACAAGACCAAGGCAACCCAGGAGTACAACACCAAGGCAACCCAGAAACACTACTCCAAGGCAACCCAGGAGTACAACACTAAGGCAACCCAGGAATACAACAATAAGGCAACCCAGGAATACAACACCAAGGCAACCCAGGAGTACAACACCAAGGCAACCCAGGAATACAACACCAAGGCAACCCAGGAATACAACACCAAGGCAACCCAGGAGTACAACACCAAGGCAACCCAGGAATACAACACCAAGGCAACCCAGAAGTACAACATTAATGCAACCCAAGCGTACAACACTAAGGCAACCCAGGAATACAACACCAAGGCAACCCAGGAGTACAACACTAAGGCAACCCAGGAATACAACACTAAGGCAACCCAGGAGTACAACACTAAGGCAACCCAGGAATACAACACCAAGCCAACCCAGGAATACAACACTAAGGCAACCCAGTAATACAACACCAAGGCAACCCAGGAGTACAACACTAAAGCAACCCAGGAATACAACACTAAGGCAACCCAGGAGTACAACACTAAGGCAACCCAGGAATACAACACCAAGGCAACCCAGGAGTACAACACCAAGCCAACCCAGTAATACAACACCAAGGCAACCCAGGAGTACAACACTCAGGCAACCCAGGAATACAACACTAAGGCAACCCAGGAGTACAACACCAAGGCAACCCAGGAATACAACACCAAGGCAACCCAGGAGTACAACACTAGGGCAACCCAGGAATACAACACTAAGACAACCCAGGAATACAACACCAAGCCAACCCAGGAATACAACACTAAGGCAACCCAGTAATACAACACCAAGGCAACCCAGGAGTACAACACTAAGGCAACCCAGGAATACAACACTAAGGCAACCCAGGAGTACAACACTAAGCCAACCCAGGAATACAACACCAAGGCAACCCAGGAGTACAACACCAAGCCAACCCAGTAATACAACACCAAGGCAACCCAGGAGTACAACACTAAGGCAACCCAGGAATACAACACTAAGGCAACCCAGGAGTACAACACCAAGGCAACCCAGGAATACAACACCAAGGCAACCCAGGAGTACAACACTAGGGCAACCCAGGAATACAACACTAAGGCAACCCAGGAATACAACACCAAGGCAACCCAGGAGTACAACACTAAGGCAACCCAGGAATACAACACCAAGGCGACCCAGGAGTACAACACTAAGGCAACCCAGGAATACAACACCAAGCCAACCCAGGAATACAACACTAAGGCAACCCAGTAATACAACACCAAAGCAACCCAGGAGTACAACACTAAGGCAACCCAGGAATACAACACTAAGGCAACTCAGGAATACAACACTAAGGCAACCCAGGAATACAACACCAAGGCAACCCAGGAGTACAACACCAAGGCAACCCAGGAATACAACACCAAGGCAACCCAGGAGTACAACACTAAGGCAACCCAGTAATACAACACCAAGCCAACCCAGGAATACAACACTAAGGCAACCCAGTAATACAACACCAAAGCAACCCAGGAGTACAACACTAAGGCAACCCAGGAATACAACACTAAGGCAACCCAGGAATACAACACTAAGGCAACCCAGGAATACAACACCAAGGCAACCCAGGAGTACAACACCAAGGCAACCCAGGAATACAACACCAAGGCAACCCAGGAGTACAACACCAAGGCAACCCAGGAATACTTAAGTTCTAAGTCGTAAACTCAACCGAACATAAAACATTTACAAATAATCGTACAACATTGTATTTGGGTACGTTCACGTCAGCCTGACGGGGCGGCAAGTTTATTGAAATACATTGAATACGAAGTTTACATCCACGGCTGGAACCGATCTGAATGGCTCCTCAGTGCTGTGTTATCTGGTAACCATATCTGCCCATGTGCTCCAGTAGAGTTTTCCGTTTGGAATTCCCGGAAGCCTGAAAAACTTAGAAAACTTATTTAAAACATTGTAACATATTCGATATTGATAAATTATTATACTGTCTTACATATTGAATCACAAATCAACTTCAACTGATTTTTCACCTTCATGAATCTTAAGATGGGTCCAGTGACCTAGTACACGAGGTCCAGTGACCTATTACATCCGAGGTTCAGTGACCAAAATTTAACCTGAAAACGGTTTTGCTGTTTACGAACCACTGACATAAGTTTAACCTGATCCATATTTACCTTGCACGGGAGTGGGTGGGAGGGCAGTCCTGCCCCGTCAGTCGTGAATCTCAAGTGCCTGTTGCACGTGCAATCTACCCTTTTATAGCACACCCATCACGTGATTTATTGCACGGACTGTAGTTCATCTGTACTGAATACTCTCGAACCCAAATATACAACCACGTATTAGTAAATATATTTATGTTCTAATTCGTAAACTCAACCGAACATAAAACATTTACAAATAATCGTACAACTCTGTATTTGGGTACGTTCACGTCAGCCTCAATAACTAAGAGAGCGGGCAAATAAAAGGATAATACAAATCTGTTTAATCAATCATTTATTACTGGCAACAGGAGATCACAACATTCAAATTCCCAATTTTTTTCGACACACTGACTGACTGACTGACTTTGGTTTTACGCCGCTTTTAGCAATATTCCAGCAACATCACGGCGGGGGACACCAGATATGGGCTTCACACATTGTACCCATGTGGGTCGACACACTGAGTCTTGCTAATAGGCTATCCGTCACATAAGAATCTTTTGCAGTCTCTGACCGCCACCGACCGCGACGCTTGAATAGCCTATCCGGCACTCCAGCATTGGCCGCCTCGGTCGCCCCTCCCGACCTGAGGCTGTGCACCCCAAAATCCTGTCTCTTTAGATCAACAGTCTCCATCATACTCAGAATGATCTCTCGCATACGTGTATAAGAGACTGGCTTGCTGCCTCTTAACTTATAAGTGTTTGACTTTCTGCAATAGTTCACTGGTTTAAAGATATATTCATCACTAACTTTCAAATGCTTGTTCTAGGTATGACTTCATAATACTAACTGGACAATTCTGATTGGGTTGCAGCAACAACCATGTGATGGCCATCTCGATATTTATCAGTCTTGCTTTTCTCTATAAAGATAACCATGTGACCTTCCCGAAATTTTATGTCAGAATATCTTAAATTTGCTGCTTCCGAAAACCTAAGGAAGCCAGCAAAAGAAACTATACAAAATGTTAAATTTCTCAGGTTGTATAAGCTGTCAACAGGAAACTTATCTTTTAACTTTCGTAGAATATCTGCTGTTATAGGCTCTTTCCGCCTGATTTGTACACCAAGAGTTCTCCGCGAAGATTCAAGCAAAGACTTGACGAAATGTGACTGAGATGGATTCCGTAGGCCTGCTAAATTATGTGCCCTGCCTATGGCGTAAATCGACTGCTAAATTGATGCAGGACTCTTACCGTTCTGCTCAAGATATAACACGTACAATGCTATATGAAATACAGAAGCCGGTATATGACTGATGGCAAATTGTTTACACCAATCCTTAAACTTCACAAATCGACCTTCATACTGTTTCACAGTAGTCTGAGCTCTAGATTCCAACATAAATTCTGGTAACCTTTCCGCTAAACTAATCAAAGTTGGATCTTTAAGCCCTCACCCCACCCCCTTCTCCTTCCAAACACCGAGTGAAAACACATCTGAATGAAATCAGAAAAATCTGATAGCTAAAACTGATCCCGAGAAATTCTTATCAAATATAGTTTTCGCTGCACCTTTCGCAAAAATGATTCTATCTTTGATTTCCCAGACCCCTGATATACCTGGTTTACTCCCGCCGTCACGGTTGAATAATCTTGGCCAAAATAAAGCAGATTTCCACAACGGTACCACAACAGTAGCTCTGCAGCTATTGTACAAAACAAAATCAATGGTTTTACATATCAGATTGAAGGGGACAACCCAATTATTGTCACGTGACCAATCTTGAGTGAAACAATCCACTGCTTCTGTCCCTGGAACCATAAATCTTGAGTTAAACCGTTTCAGTTTCTTATTCTTATGATCAGCAAACCTGTCTATAGTGAACGGTCCCCAGTGTTCATTTATCTCGGCAAACACTTCATCTACTACCGTCCAATCGTCTTGATCACCTGCCCTACTTAAACTGTCCGCCGCCGTATTACTCTCCCTGGGAATCCACTGGAATTCAACTTTAATACTGTTACTTCTAGTGAACATGAAGATGTTAGCTGCCAACTTTTGTAATTCTGATACGGTACTACCATGTTGAGCCACTAGACAGGCTGCTTGATTATCTGAAAAGAGCCTGACTGACCTTCCCTTAACTGTGTCAACAAAACTACTCAGAGCCAACTCTATCGCTCTCAGTTCCCGCCATGCCGAACTCCTTTGTATTTCATGCTCATCCCAGGCTATGAAGAACCTATTGTTTGTGTGGGGGATAAAAGCCCCACATCCCAGGCTATGAAGAACCTATTGTTTGTGTGGGGGATACAAGCCCCACATCCCAGGCTATGAAGAACCTATTGTTTGTGTGGGGGATACAAGCCCCACATCCCAGGCTATGAAGAACCTATTGTTTGTGTGGGGGATACAAGCCCCACATCCCAGGCTATGAAGAACCTATTGTTTGTGTGGGGATACAAGCCCCACATCCCAGGCTATGAAGAACCTATTGTTTGTGTGGGGATACAAGCCCCACATCCCAGGCTATGAAGAACCTATTGTTTGTGTGGGGATACAAGCCCCACATCCCAGGCTATGAAGAACCTATTGTTTGTGTGGGGGATACAAGCCCCACATCCCAGGCTATGAAGAACCTATTGTTTGTGTGGGGATACAAGCCCCACATCCCAGGCTATGAAGAACCTATTGTTTGTGTGGGGGATACAAGCCCCACATCCCAGGCTATGAAGAACCTATTGTTTGTGTGGGGATACAAGCCCCACATCCCAGGCTATGAAGAACCTATTGTTTGTGTGGGGGATACAAGCCCCACATCCCAGGCTATGAAGAACCTATTGTTTGTGTGGGGGATACAAGCCCCACATCCCAGGCTATGAAGAACCTATTGTTTGTGTGGGGGATACAAGCCCCACATCCCAGGCTATGAAGAACCTATTGTTTGTTTGTGTATGAAGAACCTATTGTTTGTGTGGGGATACAAGCCCCACATCCCAGGCTATGAAGAACCTATTGTTTGTGTGGGGGGGATACAAGCCCCACATCCCAGGCTATGAAGAACCTAGGCTTGTTTGTGTGGGGGATACAAGCCCCACATCCCAGGCTATGAAGAACCTATTGTTTGTGTGGGGGATACAAGCCCCACATCCCAGGCTATGAAGAACCTATTGTTTGTGTGGGGGATACAAGCCCCACATCCCAGGCTATGAAGAACCTATTGTTTGTGTGGGGGATACAAGCCCCACATCCCAGGCTATGAAGAACCTATTGTATGATGAAGAACCTATTGTTTGTGTGGGGAAGATACAAGCCCCACATCCCAGGCTATGAAGAACCTATTGTTTGTGTGGGGGATACAAGCCCCACATCCCAGGCTATGAAGAACCTATTGTTTGTGTGGGGGATACAAGCCCCACATCCCAGGCTATGAAGAACCTATTGTTTGTGTGGGGGATACAAGCCCCACATCCCAGGCTATGAAGAACCTATTGTTTGTGTGGGGATACAAGCTATGAAGAACCTATTGTTTGTGTGGGGGATACAAGCCCCACATCCCAGGCTATGAAGAACCTATTGTTTGTGTGGGGGATAAAAGCCCCACATCCGAAACTGCTTGCATCAGAAAAATAGAAAAACTCGGCGAATGATCCATTTCAAAGAATTTCACATTAAATGAGTGCAGATTATTTTTCCAAAATATCAGTTCCGACACACACTCTTCTGCTGGTCTGAAGTACCGACTATCCCATGACCTACATTCTGTGATCTGTTTGTACAAATGTCGAGTCATAATTCTACAAACATCTCCAAAAACGAATGACAAGGAAAGTATTTTACCTGTGACCTTAGCCAATAATCTTGCTGTAAATATCGGAAAAACTTGTAAACACTGTTCAATATCATGCACGGTATTTTCTAGTTTTCCTTGGGGGACAGACACAATGCCCTGTTCAGCATTCCAATTAAAGCCAAGCCAATCCAAGTTTTGCGTCGGTAACCATACTGACTTCTCAGCATTACACAAAAACCCTGCCTTAGTCAAAGTATCGTTTACAAACTCGGAGTCTTTCTGACACAAGGAACGACTCTGACTATGCCCAAATCCATCATCAAGATAAACCACAATATTCACCCCATTACCTCTCCAATATCGGACCAAAGGTCTGAGTATTTTAGTAAATATATATGGAGCTGACGTTAACCCGAAGGGAAGTACAGTAAATTGAAAATATCTCACTTTACCACCAATGTTCCATGAAAACCCAAAACGTTTGTTGTTTCTCACAGATATCAATATGATGATATCCGGACTTCAAGTCAAATTTGAACATGTAACCCGACTTGGAAATAAACTGCAAAGCCGAATTATGATTTTCGAAAACTATGGACTGCTTCCACACATGCGAATTCACCTGTCTCAGGTCCAAGATTAGGCGCTTTTTACCTGACGGCTGTACCGAAACTGACAACGGGCTGATTACACGGGGAGGGGAAAATACTTCTTGTATACATGCATTAGCCAACAATTCCGAAATAGCACTGTCAACAAAACACGAATGGTTGTAAGCCGACTTGTTATTCTTAGAACGCATTCTCTCAGGAGTTGACACACATGGAATAACGTATCCCGATCTGATAGACTGTAACACTAGTTCCGGAGCTCCAATTTCTTCCCAGAATTCCACTTTATCTTTCAAACGTCCTTTTACTGAAGTACCAGAAAGTCTATCCGCCGGACTGTTTCTGCCGGAATCTGAGTTGACCAATGAATGAGAACATGACGTACAGTACCTGAATCTGACATCTTGCTAGCTGTGGTCATGGCCTGCTTCACCGCACCCTCATTACTTCCTGTCAGTTCCAGATCCTGTGACGTCGTACTGCACGTCGCGGGAAGACGAGGCTTTAGCTGCTGGACACGTCTGCCTCCAGTGTCCGAGTTCTCCGCAGTAGTAACACTGTTGATATGGTCTGGGGCCCCTCTGGTTCTGACTCCGAAATGTTGAAGACTGGTTTTTATCGTTGTGCACCTCCTGTTGCCCTGTACGTTGATTGACGTGAGCTAGTGAAGGGTCATATGGACGACTTGAGCTGCTGCTGCAGCCACGGCTACGTTTCCTGAGAGCTTTCGCTTCAGCTCTCTCAAACCGACGTTCTTCATCAGAGTCGGAAGCGACGCCACTCCCTTCCAGTTCTGTGACAACACCCCAACCAGCTGGGGACTTGTCCGCTAAACGGATAAGCTTGTTCCGTTTTTTAACAGAGACAGAGAGAGACTCAATTTGTTCACACATATCAGTAGTATCTCTCTTGTATAACGATGACTTAATGTTGTCTAGACCATCTAAAATCTCACAATTAAACTTGTATTGCACAGAGTTCCCTTTATATTTGAAGTCAGGGTATTTGTCATATTTGACTTTCTTGGCGATAGACAAAGACAGTTGCTCTGATTCACTGATAAATTCTCTCTTAAGTGTAGACAGTTTAGCATCTAAATAATCCCGGAACAGTTGAAAAGACTGAAAGTCGTCACCTTTAGGTTGTTCCGAACGTTTAGGAGGAGCAGAGTCTTGTACACCGTCATCCGAAGAGTGGTCCATGTTTGCAGATACAGCCGAGACACGCAACAGCAGTCCTGCCCCGTCAGTCGTGAATCTCAAGTGCCTGTTGCACGTGCAATCTACCCTTTTATAGCACACCCATCACGTGACTTATTGCACGGACTCTAGTTCATCTGTACTGAATACTCTCGAACCCAAATACACAACCACGTATTAGTAAATATATAACACCAAGGCAACCCAGAAATACTACTGCAGCGGAAGATAGCAATATGGCCCGTTACGTGAGCATTGCACCCTTTGCCACGAGCACTCGTTGGAAGCAATTGTGGGGGCCCAACAGACTTTTGTCAATCAAGACCGTGGGTAACCGTCTCAAGGTTTATTGTTTCAGGTCCTGAAGGGTCATTAAGCGGCCAACTGTGACTCATGAACAACACAGGTAACGTCAGCAGTGGTGCTTTACTCGGCGGTACTGGAATCTCCGGACCTGGAGGCGGATCCAATGGTCAGACGAAAGCCGGTTTCTGCTTCATGTTACGGATGGTTGTGTGAGAGTTTGGAGGTGCATTAACACTGCTTATGTGCCGAGGAACATGTTCCCTTTGGTGGAGGCTCGGTTATGGTGTGGAGATGTGTCTCCGTGACTGTAAGTTGACATTGGCGTCTGTACGGGGAAATCTGAATCAACATCGCCTCATCACAGGCATTCTTCATCAGGCTGTTGTGCCTCACTTTTTATAAGAGCAGAGTTGGGAGCCACTAATGTGGGAACATGGGGACAAACGTGTGACAGAGGCCATGGAGAGTTGACAGACATCTCTCTCGTCGGTATTTCCTTAAAGGGTATACTGGTGGCGGTTTGTCAGCGTGATGGTGAGGGGAATATAAACAGAACACAGTTCCAGATGTCATGGAACCGCGACCAGGGTGTCATTAAATATGAATAAAGTAATACTAGAAATCATGGTGAAGGTTTTATAACTACCTGCTAAATGTAGCTGGAAATAGGTCATCTGAGGGGTCAAGACTCCATCTGATTAGCTTAGCTAGGGTATAACGAAAGATAGATAAAGGGCTTAACATACGCTGGCTAAGGGTGTCAATAAACATTTGCAACTAGATATGTACAATTTGTAAAGTGTCAAAAAAACATTTACGGGACAGCAAATCTCCCTTGTGAAACGCACAAATGTATCAACACAACGAGCTTTGCCGAAGTGGCCCGAGCTATGCCGACTTTAGGACAGCAATGAGCAGGTGACCAGGATTATTCGCACTTGGATGAAACATATACGTATGTCGTGTTATCGCTTTCTCGTCTCGTGTTATCGCTTTCTCATCTCGTGTTATCGCTTTCTCACTTTCTCGCCTCCGAATTTTAAGGCGAGAAAGCGATGTCCCTAATCAGCCACCATATATACGAGCTTAGACATGGGGCTGACAAACCAAGATGAATAAGGAATGTGAAGATTATTTCCCTTAACGTTTGGAAACTGTCGCATTATCGGAAATAGCTTGTCTGACTGTTTAAATAACTGTTTGAAATATGTGAAGAGCCTGAAATTACACACAATTGAAAGTGTATGGGGTAACATACACCTAAGCCTTTAATAGTTTCTCTATTGCACTAATCAAGGGTCGACAAATAATTACAAATCTTCCTAAACTCACAGAATGTCAGCTGTGAAAGTTAACTTGAACATGGCGTGAGTTTAGTACTGTGGACTGAAACACGCTCAAAATGGAAATCTGAAACATTCCGTGCACAGCTGATCAAATATGTAGAAATATATTCTTAGTCTTTGACAGATTCCAGACAGCTGCAATCATATGCGGATATGAGATTAGGAGGAAGCTTACAGGGCCAGTGGAAGGTCGCCTTGTTACAAGTTGAATCAATCTCATTATACAGTACCACTTGACGGGGCCCAGACAGTTGTATTAGGTCTAGCGTTCTGCATTGGGATTACAAGCTGCCACTCTTTGTTTTTTATCTTTATTTTCAATATACGTCAGAGTGTGTTTTATGTACAAGTATACATTAAACGGTTATTTTAGGAACGGGATTATATTGATGAAAATGTAAATATTGAGGTGCCAGGTTTTCATCTTCAATATACAATCAGACACAATCCGTCAACAACGCCAACTAATTACTTCTCATCTACGATTATCTGCCGACAACTAGGCCTAGCTGACAAAACAACGGGGGATCACTGTATATAGTGATGGCACTGTGTGTTTATTAAGTGTTTGTTAAATGTAAATGTTATATGTTGATGAAACGTATGGCACTGGAGCATCAAATGCTTGTTCACCTTTAATTTGTAATTAAACATAAAACTAGAATGATACAGAGTAACCTTTAGAAAGCTGAGGGTCTCCATTATCTGCTGAATAAGATTCCATTTGGCAAATTAGCGGTAACAGTTACAAGAATGGCTCACTGTAATAGCTGAAATCGCATTTCGCGATCTGCCATTCCCAAGCTTGTCACAACAAACAGTAATTGCCAGTGAGCAAGGTGTGAACACATCCTGGTAATGTTATAGCATGGGATGGCATCACACATCATGGTGCCGTTGTACAAAGCAAAGTTAGCTCTAAGACTGTCATAAGTTTATGTTAAGGTATGTGTGTTACGATCACCCTAGCGTTAAGATCCCCTTTGTAAAACGGTACCCACGTCGACATCGTCATGGATCAATACACCTGTTACGTTAGGCAGAAATCACGAATCAATCTGTCGACCATTATCGAAGTTTCGTTTGCCTAAGTGTGTGTTGATTGCGTCATTGGCCATAATCTGGACAGACCATAATCTGGACAGACCATAATCTGGGCAGACAATAATCTGGATAGACCATAATCTGTGCAGACCATAATCTGGACAAACAATAATTTGGACAAATCATAGTCTGCTGGACAGAACATAATCTGGACAAGTCATAATCTTGATAAACCATAATCTGGACAAACCATAATCTGGACAATCCATAATCTGGACAAACCATAATCTGGACAAACCATAATCTGGACAGGCCATAATGTAGACAACCATCATCTAGACAGACTATAATCTGCACAGACCATCTGGACAGGCCATAATCTGGATGGCGTTGTGTCCTGAACGGGTATATCATTGCTCCAAAACACAACACCTGGGTTGTCTGGCCCAGGCTTGTCTACAGGACACAGACGTGTGCCAGCAAGAGCATTTCTGGGAGAGCCTTCAGACAACGATCAAACACTTGTATTTTTAATTAAATGTGTGTGTGGCATGTCGTGTGGAATATCCTCGCCATTTTCACGAACACTTGTTGTCAATACTGACTTTCCAGAACCAGTTATATTTTGTTCATTTATTTTGTGTCTGTTACACCCCGTCGAATCAGAACGATAAACGGGATTGATTCCCTGACGCCGACTGCTTGAATTCAGTTCTCGTCACTTTAACCGCAGGGGAGGGGTTACGAGTCAGTTTAACTTGACAGACCCGAAATATCCAAGTCCCAGTATGACAGTCTGCAGTAGTGGAATCTGCAGAAGGTCGTAGTATGTGGGATCGGATTAGTAATGGAACTTCAAAGGAAAACCTATGTATCTAGATTTCTCGTGGATGGCAATAAGAGACACGGGGAGCTGTGTGGTCAGAGGGTAACTTTGTTGGTTGAGAGCTGGGAGAGGTACACGACGACGCTGCCAGTTAGCCAACACGTTCCAATACATTTTGTACATAAATCATTAACACTCTAGTCTTCCGCTATATAATTGTTTTGATGGAAAATTATATTTCTTAACATCGAGAAGCTTGAATTCCTTTGATCTGAAAATGAATCTGAAGGGACGTATCCTTAACATATAGATGAAGGTTGGATGTCGCAGACAGACAGCGAATCTTACAACCCCTTATTGACGGACGATATGCCATTATTTCAATATTGTATAAAGATCTCATATATTCTCCCTCAGGGTATAAAACACATCAAAGATTGGTGAAATGTGCGACAACAGTGACTCTCTCTAATAAGGCTGTGGTTGGATCCTGAGGAAATATTTGACGCCAGCCTTGAAACTCTCTGATTTACTGCAGGAGAATGAGTTGTTATGGACGCTTGTATTCAAAATACTGCTCCTGATAATACTGCTGGTAATTATTATCAGTATCCACATAAGCTGTTGAAGCCAGTTAGAATCCATTCCTCCGGCAGCTGTCATCAACTACCACCACACCATTAAGTCATCACGGCTACAACTAGTCTACAGGACTCGCACAACCGCCCTCTGGGGATGTCGGGGACAACACACGTACTGGCAATCAAGGGAGGGATATCCATGGCAGTACCAAATCTTATTGTGAATAATAATTGATGGTAAATACAATACATTACAACAAGTTGTCGTGTATTACACGAGAACTGTTTTTTTCAGTCCTTTATCATCTGTTAGACTTAAACTCTTCAAAGTTCAAAGTTGTCCAGTTTGAATTGTTATACGGCTGTCATTCGAATGTCAGTTACAAATGACACAAACATCAGTGAAGATTGACACTTCATAACGATATCAATTTTGAAACTATAATGTGAAATAATAACAACTTCCCTCCATTCTGTCTATACTGATGCCTGTCATCTCATCTTATATATCTCAATGTATACAAAGTTCAAAATAAATTTTCCACTACTTGCTTTCATCCACTGATAATAACAGTACCAGCACCTTTCCATAACATTTAGAAATCTCAGGCGAAGTCCCTTGTTAGGGAATAACATCACACATCTGTTTGGTCAATGATAAGTCCATATATCTATTATAACACTCTTTGAAAACGTACTGCTGCCTTGAATAATGTCATACTGTCACAATGTGGATACGCTGAAATCTACACTGAAGTGTTCAAGTGCCCATCTAAAGCTTACAATGGAGACATCAAAGACTGGAGCGACTAGTATGTGGAAAAAGAAATATATAGTCATCAGGACATAGAAACCAACACCGCGCTCAGACAAATACACGGATTTTATTGTTCCTCTGAC